TTCAAGGCCAGCCTGGTCTACATAGTGAGTTCCAGGCCAGCTGGGGCTACAGGGAGACCCTGTTTCAAAAATATCAAATAAATAAATAAATAAATAAATAAATAAATAAATAAATAAGTAAATAAAATAAAATAAGAAAAGGAAAACGAAAGGCCTAACAACCCTGTGGAGTTAGATTGGTACTGGACGTGTTGGTATGAACTCATGGTTTTAAATACACAAACTGTGGAGGTGTGACTCAGTTGGTAGAGGGCTTGCCTAGCATGCGTGAGGCCCTGGGTTCCATCTCTAGTACTGAAAACACTGCATGTGGTGACATGGAAAATAGAAGCAGGAAGACCGGAAGTTCAAGGTCATCCTTGGCTACCTCATGAGTTTGAGGCTAGTCTAGTTTATATAAGACCCAGTCTCAGGGCTGGAGAGATGGCAGTGGTTAAGAGCATAGGCTACTCCTGCAGACAACATGGGTTCAGTTTCTAGGACCCACATGGCAACTAACAACTGTCCCTAACTCTAGTTCCAAGGGATCTGACACCCTCTTCTAGCCTCCACAGGCACTGCACACACAGCTATACTTACATGCACATAAACAAAAAAAATTTTTTAATTAAAATAATGTTAAGAAAATTTAAAGACCCTGTCTCATATACAAGACATAAATAAATAAATGAATAAATGCAACATAGAATTGCTGGATGGAGAAATATGCATGTGTATTTTGCCTGTGTGTAGGTACATCCACATGTTTTTAGTCCTGACCACTGAGAGAAACTAGAACTTATGACACCCCAGGAACAGTGAGCATACCTAGTATCCAGATTGTGGTTTCTCAGTTATGAAAAACAGCCAGGGCTCACTAGAGAAATGGCTGGTTAGCAGCTGGAGAGGACAAGGTACAAGGTGAGCCTGGAGGATCCTGTTGTTCCATGCCAGAAAGGATTAAGGAAGATGGGGTGGGGATGTGGCTCAGTTGGTAGAGAGCTTGCTTAGCATGCATGAATCCCTGGGTTCCCTTGCCATCACCACATACACTGGGTATCATAGTGGTGCACACCTGTAATCCCACCACTTGGGAGGTGGAGGCAGGAGGATCGATAATTCAAAGTCATTCTGAGCTGCACAGAAAATTCAAGGAGAGCCTGAACTACATGAAACTGTCTCTAAAAACAAATGAACATCAAATGAAACAAAGAATAAGAAGAAAGAAAAAAAAGATTTTAAAAAGAAAATTCCAGTTAGACCAGGTTGAAAAACTCTGTTGTGCAGGCAATAGAAGCTATTTGCTTGAAATATAACAGGACCTAGCCTCTGACGTCTTGACTTTTGTCTTGAAGAGTGAAACTCTGTTGTAAGGTGTTGACCAGAGTACCTAACAAGACAGAGATCTGGGGTTTCCTTGAGCAGCTAGTTAACTTTTAACTAATGTCACCCTGTGGCAGAATTATGTCTGAGACTTTATTGCTTAGAAGTATGGTCGCTGGTGGGTATCTAACACTATGTCAGAAATCTCAGTAGCAATAGCCATCTAGAGAAAACCCAGAGTCGAGCCAGCCATACTCTGGCCATACCTTCACTCTGAACTCCACTCCTGAATTTGAGGTGCACAGAAGCAAAAGATGGCGGGACAGGAACCTATCATGAACTCCCCAGCAAGTAAACTACCTGTTTATTTTTTGTGTATGGTACTGAGGATCAAACCTAGGGCCTTGAGCTTGCTAAGGATTGAGCATTCCAGAACTGAGCCACTCCCCTTACCCATTCATTCACTTTTATCTTTCATTTTTCTGAGGAAAGATAATAGCATCACATTTTCTGTATTACTGAACCTCTGTTGGCATGAATAAGATGAGTCTGATGTCAGAACATCAGAAAAAGCCCAGGCCCAGGTTTGGAGCCAATTTGGCAAGTGTCTGCTTAGATGAGCTAGGTTTGGAAGGGAGGCCTCCAGGAAGACTGCATGTCTTTCCCTAAGTGTTCTGTCATGGTTCAACCTGCTCCATCTGCCCCTACAAATACCCATCTCAGCGCAGCCCCTACGATGGTTAATATTGTCAACTCGACAGGCTCTACAGTCACCTAAGAGATAAGCATCTGGGCAAGTCTGTGAGGAAGTTTCTAAATGGGCTTAAGTGGGTGGGAAGACCCACCCCAAATATGGGTGATACCATTCCATGTGTTGGGGTCCTGGACTGGATAAAAAGGAGAAAGCAAGCTGAGCACCAGCCTTCATCTCTCTCTGCTTCCTGACAGTAGTTGCAAGGTGACCAGGTGCCTCACACTCCTGCTGCCGTGACTTCCCTATCATGATGAACTGCACCCTCAAACTGTGAGCCTAATTAACCTTTGTCTTTCTGAAGTACTTTTGTCAGGTATTTTATCACAGCAACAAGACAAGTAGCTAATAGCCCTCACCAAACTGGTCTAACTGAATCTGTGGAATGTGAAGCAGCTGGCTCTTCATAGCTGGCTCTGCAAGTCCCCTACTTCACACTCTGGTCAGCACAGCCCTGCTGGACGCTCCTGCTCAGGTTCCTGCCTTCCCAGCACCTAGCCGAAGCTTGGAGCATAGCAGCAATGTCAGAAATGGCGCCCCATGACTTGAACTCTTCACCTGATATGCAGCAGAGGCCGCACTCCAGATGAAGCCCTTGGGAAACTCTCCATACAGGAACTCGTCTTCCTTGGCCAGCGGCATGCCGTTGTTGGTGATGACCTCTGTGTAGTATCTGGCTGAGGCTCTTGCTGTTCGAGGTCTGTCCACACGATCAAAGTCAACATGATACAATCCAAACTTGACCGTGTAGCCATTCAGCCACTCAAAGTTGTCCATCAGAGACCAGGCAGAATACCCTCGAAGGTCCACACCATCAAGTCTGTAGGCTAGGAATATCCCAAAGAGAGCAGAGGAGAGCTTTACTCCTGGAGGCAATTGCTCGAGGAAGCCCAGCCACAGGCTGCCTACTGAACTCCAGGCTATGACCCTAAACCAGCAAAGTGTGGAGTCACATGATTGCCAAGAAAGGAATATGTCACATCCTCAACCTTATATTTTGCCAGTTTTAATGACCTTCTGTCAGGTGTTAATGACCTTGCAAAATCAAATTCAAGAGCTTCAGCCCATTTTATGTCTAAGGTTAATCACATAGTATATGTTTATTTTCTTTTAATTTTTTCAGACCGGGTCTCATGTAACCTCAATGTATATCTAATGATAATTTTCATTTTTCTGATGCTCCTGCCTCTACCTTACCAGTGGTAGGGTTGCAGGTATGGGCCATTATGCCTAGTTTATGCAGTGCTAAAGATAGAAGCCAGGGCTTGTGTAAGCACTCCATCAACTGAGTCACATCCCATCCCCAGAAGTGTGAATCTTAAAAATAAATTTGTTTGTGCTGGCCCTAGAGGCACATGCCTTTAGTCCCAGCAATTGGGAGGCAGAGGCAGGCGGATCTCTGTGAGTTCGAGGCCACCCTAGTCTACGTAGTGAGTCCCAGGCCAGCTGGGTCTACAGGGAGACCCTGTCTCAAAAAGACAAAAAAAAAAAAAAAAAAGTTTGTTTGTTTGTTGTGTGTGTGTGTGTGTGTGTGTGTGTGTGTGTGTATGTATTTTCCCATAAGTCAAAGGAATTGGTTCTCTCATTCTGCCAACTGAATTCAGATCATCAGACTTGCAGCCATCTTGCTGGCCTGAGAAACGTGAATTTAAAAAAGAGTTCTTTGTTCCGGATTTCATGAAACCCACCAGAAGAGCATAAGCTCCACAAGGTCAGGGATTTCTGTTTTGCTGTGTACTACACCCCAGCACATACTGAAATAGAGTTCATTAGAGGGTTGCTTAGTAACAAATAAACAGACCTGCCAACATATTCTTTGGGGGATTCTGTACGCATTACTAGATTTTTCTCTGGACAGAGAAAATGTACAAATTTCAGCTTCTGAAGGACAATAAAGCCACGAAAGAAAGAATTTTGGAGTTAGGACATAAAAGAGAATCAAT